TATTTGGGGTGGGTATGGGGGTGTTTGTGGGGTTATTAGGGGTTCTGGACCGGAAAAAAAAAAAAAAAAAAAAAAGATTTTTTTTTTTTTTTGCGGGGTGCCGACGACCCCCAACCGGTAGGTGCCGACGAGCCGACCGGTCGGCGGGTCGGCAGCCGACAAGTCAGGGGTCGCCGACGGTCGGCGTGTGCAACACTGCTTTGTGGATGTCAAGAGTAGCAGAAGGAGGCCCGTGATACATGGCGACATTTTTTTCATTTTCTTTTCCTTTTGTTGTCATCCTTGTGGATGTCGGAAAATATTTTTTTCCCCCTTTCCTTTTAATATGAAACGGGCAACAGCACCAACGGGCCTAGCTCAGTTGGTAACTTGGTACACCAAATGAACTGCTGAAATACAGACCCAAGTTTGAATCCAGCTGCGATCAGATGAACAGAATAAACTAATTCTAAATTACCTGGGGCCGGTCAGCTCAATGATGATATCTCAAGGCGGTCACCTTCAAAAAATAAAAAATAAAATGAAAAGGAGCAATGTCCTTGAGATACCATCATTGAACTGACCAGCCCCAGGTAATTCAGAATGATTTATTCTGGTCATCTGATCGTATCTTGATTCGAACTTGGGTCTGTATAGGTCAGTTGGTACCACGAACTGTTGAAATACAGACGCGATATTTTTTGTGTTTCAGAAGCAGATCGAGGCAGAATGACATGTCTTTTGAAAGCCGGGCCTCGTTCCACTACTCTCCAGATGTGCGAAACGGGACTGAATTCTCCACTAGAACATGGAAAGATACGACGCCATATTTTTGTGTTTTGTGCATGCGGAGAGTAGCGGAGTGAGGCCTCGCTCCACTACTATCCACTGTACAAAATTGTCGCTCCACTTACTGTCCACTATACACGTCCGGATTCATACGGATAGTTGTCAGACACGGTCAAGCATTTCCACTGTCCACCACTGTATACTTCCCAGCCCGCAAATTTCGTTACTTTGAGAATCCTTCAAGGAACTCACGGTGCGGACCCAAACTTGGAGAGTGTACCTGTAGTCTGGGCGGACAAAACCCCATTGACTCCATGGCGTCTGATAGTGAACTCACGAATTGGAGAAATGTGCAGCGGATAGTAAGTGGAACGATGCCGTGGTTTCCCCCATTTCCAACACTCGGACAGCTATACGCCAAGTAATACAATTCTACAAAATTTTGTATATCGGACAGTAGTGGAGTGAGGCCCCCAATGACATGTTTTCTGAAAGCTGGGCCTCGCTCCACTACTCTCCAAATGTGCAGAATGACACTGAATCCACCGTTAGAACATGGAAAGATACGTCCAAACAAAAGAGAGGAAAGATACGCGACGGTCGTGACCATATTTTTTGTCTGTTGTGCATGTGCAGAGTAGTGGAGCGATGCCCAATCACGTGTCTTCAGGAGGCTGGGCCTCTCTACTTTCCAAATGTGCGGAATGAGACTGAATCCACCACTAGAACATAGTTACATGGCCATATTTTTGTCTTTTGTGCATGTGGAGAGTAGCGGAGCGAGGCCCAATCACGTGTCTTCAGGAGGCAGGACCTCCATCCACTACTCTCCAAACTTGCAAAATGAGACTGACCTCCATCCGCTACTCTCCAAACGTGCAAAATGAGACTGAATCCACTGCTAGAACATAGAAAGATATATGGCCATATTTTTTGTCTCCACTACTCTGCAAATATGCTCCCGCGGGCCAAAGCTCCCCCGGGACCTTGCGCGTGCCACCAAAATTTGTTGGGCCCGGAGGGGGCATCAGCTGAGGACCGGGTTATAGCCTTTAGAAGGTATATAGATATATATATATAGAAAAAAAGCCGGAAAGGGGAAAGGGGTCAGAATTCGGAGGGAAAAAGAAAGAAAAAACGATGTACTGTTTCAATGGATCTGAGGACATCTTCGTAGGAAGATCGGCTCGGCCTTTGGATCTCGAACCGGGCGGCCGGAATTGTTGCCCTAAATCTTGATTTCTAACCAATGTTGTTGCCTCCCTGAATGTCCACATGTAAGCGTTCTTGCCTCTTTATATGTCACAGTGATCTGTACGACAGAGGTTCAGTTTCTTTATCGAACCGTCTCTCCTTGAAAAGTGGCTGCATCAAGACTAAAACATCACAGGCGTGGTGTCAGTCGCGACGGAGTGTCTTTCCACTCCACCCTGGGGTTTCCTTTATGGAAGGCCTGGCCGTGTCATTATTCACATTTATTTTTTGTTTTTGGCGCGGGTTCAAAACCTGCGGTCGCCTTCATAACTTAGGCAGGGGTAAGGGGTGGTATATCCTTCCCACAGGAAGTAATCAATGCCTTTTGACTTGCCGGTGGAATAGGAACCGAACTGATGCTCCCCAGAATGAATGCGGAGTCAGAACCGCCAGGCTCTGTTTTTTTTTTGAAAGAGATTGGTGTTTATCAATCAGGAGGGTGCTTCTAGGATTATTCCTGCCAATTGTTACCTAAAGCCATGGCAGCCGTTGATTCCTCGTTGTCTCGTCGCCCCTTGATTGTTCCTTGCCTTCTCACTTGCAGTCAGTCTACACTAATAACAAGATCAAGATTATAAGCGTGCCAAGCCCTACTATACATGACTGTTGGGATTGGACACACAAAAGGACGGCAAAAAACTTGAAAAACTTCAAAAAAAGCAATCAACAGCAGTAGTCACATATTGAGCTTGAGGAGGCGTCACTGATTGGTAGGGCACTAATCATAAACACGGCTATCTTTTCCACACTGTGGTACATGGCTTCCGTCTGGTCCCCTCCCGATGACGACCTAAAGAATCTCAAGGCCAGAGTCAGGTGCTTTCTTTGGACTAGGGATCCTAACCGTACCACCTGCATCAACAAAGTGGCATGCATTACATCACCAGGAAACCACATGAAGGAGGCTTGGGCTTATTAGACCCAAAACAGGAAACAATCACACTCCAGACGAAATGGATAATCAAAATCCTAACCAGACAGTCCCTCCCCTGGACTAAAATGGCACTGGACAACGTAAGGAACCTAACACCCGTTAGGTCCCCCCTAACATGAGCGGCCTGTTCTGGATAATGGCCAGCGAGTGGCCAATCCGAACTGGCAGGCCACGAAGCAGGACTCAGCCACAATCATCTGATCAGGTCATTGCCACGCCAAACACATATGGACGCCTACCCTGAAGGCGTGGCGCAGACTCATGCCAAATAAGCACTGTGCCCCCAGCAGTAAGGAAGAAGTATGCAGACAACCACTATTCTGCAATCCATAGATCAAGGACGTGAAGGGAAACCCTTGGTCCCTGCGCACCAAAGACCGGAGATGGCTATCCTGGGTAGAAAAGGGAGTTTGGCAGATTAAACACTTATGGTCGGAGGAACGGAGGGAGTGGATGACTGAACAAGAGCTACACGTTCCCCTGAAGGGGTGTCACTCCCTAGAAGCCAACATAGCCCTGATACGACAAAGCATCCCACAGCACTGGATAGCGCTGCTAAGAGAAGAGTGCTCATGGAAATCCGAGGAATGGAGCCTACTCATCCATCTGATTCTATCAAACCCCACCCCTGAGAGCAGACCAATTCATCAAGCGCCTAGAGGGAGCCAACTATCAGTCCAAATTCGTCTCATACCCAATCTCCAATCACAACCTCTAGGAACTAGTAATCCTAAATGTGGAACCTCAAACCGAGATCCTAGAGACCTTCTTACTCAGGAAAGTCAGGGTCTCGCAGAATAAACCATGGTTAATCTTCCAGCCAGAACTTAACATAAGAGACTTGGCATTCGACCCCAAGGAATGGATGTGGAATCAGGATAACACAAACAAGACAAGAACGATATTGGAATATGATGTGAAATTCGGATTCGACCTCGGCCTACGGATGGTAGATCCAAACTCTGGGCTAATTGAGAGATGGAGGAAGATCCTGAATCTGAACTTGTCAGCCTCCTTCACCATTCCATGGGCAAAGTACCTGCCCATCAGACCGGTAAGAATCCACAGCATGCAATGGCTCATAG